TTTATTGAAATTTGATATCTTAGATATCAAAACTCGCATCTTTTTTATTCACCAAATAGACCCTAAATGTGGTGCTAATTGTTTACTAGTCTAAAGGGTACTATTTTATTTAATTAAATGTCTTAAGGATTGTTTTTGTTTCATTCTAAATTAACTTGTGTTACTTTTCAAAATGTAAGTCTTGAACTATACATATTTGGCATTAGTATGGCATGCCACCGTTCCGTTTTAAGAGAGTATCGAATCAATCAATTTTTTGTCTAAAAGTCAACCATACCAAACATCTTTCAATAAGATAATACAGTACCATTCCGATTAGTTTACTGAAACGTTCCATATCGTGCCCACCCCTAGAGATAACACAACCAGCTGAGCTAAATTCATACTTCCTCCTCAAAAAAAGTTTCCACTATCACTTATCACTTTCCATTTGTTCCAAAAAATATTTTTACTTTCAATTAAATATTCCTTTTGTCTCTACTTGTTATTAACCTACTAAACACATAATATTTTTTTCACTATTAATCTACTAATCACATTCTAACATACTCTACTATAAAGTAGACAAAATAGAAAAGTAATACCAAGTGGTAGGGCGCTGTGACACAACGAGTGAGGAAAGAGATGTGTGACATGTCGTGGCCGTAAGGAAGGCATGTACTTGATTTTTCCGGTCCGGTCCAATTTACCCTAATTTAGATCTAGATCATTTTTTGATGTTTTGTTCAAAACCATATTAAAATGCAAATCAAATGATACACTTCCAGTTATATTACACATTCCAAAATAATAAGAGCTTGAATTACAATTAATAGAAAATAATAATAATAATAATAATAATAATAATAATAGTAATAATAATAATAATAATAATAATAATAATAATAATAATAATAATAAGTGGAGTAGCGCATAATGTATGTTCTCCACGGATAAGGGGCATTAGTGCCTGCTTTTCAAATCACAGGGGGAAATAAAGCTCATTTCTCATTTCTCGATTATTTTTTTGTCTTTTTTTAACTTTTTTCTATCTTAATTACTTTTCTGATATTATATTTATATATATATATATATATAGACACACACACACATATGATATTGACTCAAGTGAGATGAAACCTTATGGTGAGATGATATGCTACGATCAGATGACGCAAAGCTCACCACGAGCCACTGCAAAGCTCACCAAAGACAACTGTAAAGCTCACCAAAGTATAAAACAAAGCTCACCATATTTTTTCAACACTTTGAATTTTTTTTTTTTTGAAAACATAAAATCAAAGGAAGGGGTGATGACTAGATTTTGACCGTTGACCGGGACCTTTGACCGCCGCCTACCGCCCGCTACCGCTGACCGCCGCCAGCTGCCGCCGCTGCACCGCCGCCTCTGACCGGTGGTTGACCGGTGTTGTTTTTTATATTAATTTTTAAATTTCAAAATTTAAAAAAAAGGTGAGTTTTGGTGTTCAAAAAAAAGATCTAACGGTGCAATTTTAATTTCATATGCAATCTGACGGTCCAATTTCAATGGTAATTTTGAAATTAAAGTCTAATTGATGGATATTTATTACTCCGTATTTTAATTAGAAACGGCTAAGGTTTTCTCAGCCCTCTCCCTCGCTATTTACGGTTTTCTCCGCCCAAACGACATCCTGCCCTCTCCCCTCGCAAGAATGAACGAAGATCTTTAAGCAGGGAGGCGCCGCTGATAAACCAGACAACGACAAACCTAGCAATCGCAGCGCCGCCTGCTCTAACTAGGATTCCAAGAGAGTGAAGAAAAAGAAGAAAAGGTGCAAGCTTTATTCTGTCTCCACCGCTGGTGCAGGAGCTGTAGGTGGCAAGTGAAGAAGAATTATTTTAATTGTTTAAATGTGTAGAGAGTACATCATATATATAGACAAGGAGTCTCAATCCTGTATAAGGTAGGAGAGACATAATAGAAAACATATGCAAATATGGTACTCATAATAATACAATATATTAAATATAATTAATATATTTAACATGCTCCCAACAAAGTTAGATGTGGAGGAGGTTTGATGCCCAGATTGTGTCTGAAGTTGAGGAAGAGGAGTGAGGGCAGTTCCTTCACGAAGATGTCAGTGTACTGTGAAGATGATGGAACATGAAGGACCCTAGCATGACCAAGTGCCACTTTGTCACGAACAAAGTGTATGTCAACCTCCACGTGTATTCTATTACATTCTTCTTCCATTGTGTTTGCGAGAGTCAACAAATGCAGGAATATCTCCTCTGATGAAGAAATGAATCAACCAGCGAATCGATGAGACGTAGACAACGCTAACATTGTGCAAAAGACAAGAGTGGAATGATGGAGTGGCTGTTGTAGCTCAAGGAGTGAATTTCAAACCCAGCTTGTCTCAGCAACAACATTTGCTACGGTCCGATACTCAGCCTCTACACTAGAATGAGAAGTAGTGGCCTGGCGTTTGGAGGACTAGGAGACCAGGTTTTTGCCAAAGACGACACAGTAGCTTGAAGTGGATCGTCTGGTGTCCGGGAAACCTGCCCAATCAGCATCGAAGTAGGCCTATAGGTAATCTGTAGCAGAGCGTGTCAGGTAGATGCCATAGGTGGCAGTGCCACTCAGATAGCATGGGACCCACTTCATGGCTGTGAGGTGGGTGTCGCAAGGTGCATGGAGATGAAGGCATAGTTGCTGCACGGCATATGTGATGTCAGGCTGAGTGAAGGTGAGGTACCCAACGATGGCCTAGGAGAGAGAAGGATCATGGAGCAACGAGCTAGAGGAGGAGGAGAGCTTGGCCTTTGTGTCCACGGGGGTAGAAATGGGGCGACAAGAGATCATCCCAGCCCGCTCGAGTATCTCATGTGTGAACTTTGTCTGGTGGAGAAAGAGGCCAGTAGCTGTCTGATGAACATTGATGCCGAGGAAAAAGTGTAGATCTCCCAAGTCTGTCATGGCAAACTCAACTTTTAGCCGCTGGATGAGGTGCTAGAGGAGTACCGTAGAGGAGGCTGTGAGAACTATATCATCGACATACATAAGGAGATAGGAAGTGCCTGCAGCATGAGAGAAGACAAATAACGACGTGTCAACCTTGCACTCGCGAAACCCAATGGTTTGAATGAATCCTACAAATCTGTGATACCACAAGCGTGGTGCCTGCTTGAGACTGTAGAGAGCCTTCCTTATTTTGCAGACATAATGAGGTTGAGTAGCGTCTTGGAACCCAGAAGGGTGGCTAGCATATACTGTCTCTTGAAGCTGATCATGGAGGAAGGCATTCTTGACATCAGGCTGGTGAATGGGCCATCCTTGAGAAAGAGCGAGGCTGAGAACAATACGGACAGTGGCTGGCTTAATAACAGGGCTGAAAGTCTCGTCAGAGTCAACACCAAAACAGTAGTTGAAACCGCAAACCACCCAACAGGCCTTATACCTGGTTAACTCACCTGAAGGGCCAAATTTGTGTCTAAAAAGCCATTTACCGGTGATTATATTTTGCGAGGGGGAGGGGGGTACTAGTTCCCATGTGTCATTCTTGATCAAGGCATTATATTCATCACACATAGCAGCATGACAGTTTGGATCTTTTAGTACACTACGGTAAGTTGGGGGTAGTGGAGAAATGGGAACGGAGGTGTTAAGGTTAAGGATCTGTTTGGGACAGAAGACACCAGCTTTGGAGCGAGTTTGCATAGGGTGGATGTTTGGGCCTGGTTAGGGTTTTGGGCTTCAGTGCCGACGGGTTGGGTAGAAGGGTTGGTGGGCTGTAGGGGACTGTTTGAAGAAGAAGTGAGTGGGCTTTGAGTGTCGAGTTAGGGAGTAGTTTTGGCCTGGGAAGTGTAGCGGACAGGTGAGTTTGGTAAGGATGGAGTGGACTGGGCCGAGAGATTTTTTTAGGCCGAGAGAAGTGTGTTGCGGGTTTAGGCCGTGAGGAATTCTGGGTTGGAAAGAGGTGCCATGGGAGTGGTGATAGGGTGGGTCACTGGGTTAGGACCGTCATCCGTGGCGTCTAAAAATTGTAGGTCGGGAGGGGTGAGAGGGTGAGCATATGAGAAAGTGTTTCCATCAACGACGACATGGCGGGAGAATAATTTATTCGTTTGAAAGTCGAGACATCGATATCCACGTTGATTGGATGGATAGCCAAGAAAGATGCAGCGGGCTGAGCATGGTGCAAGTTTGTGAGGGGTGGTGGCGGAGATGTTAGGGTAACAGAGACAGCCGAATACGCGAATGTGGGAATAGTTTGGTGGGGAGTTATAAAGGATAGCATGAGGGGTGTTCTTGTTTAAGGTGGTGGTGGGAAGGATGTTAAAAATGTGGGCAGCCATGTTGTAACGCCACAAAATAAGGCCTAGAATTTATTATTAAACAAAAATAAGTTTTTGTCCAATAAGGAATATTTTTACATTTGACCAAAAATAAATGGATTTTCAAAATAATTAATTTTTATTAAAAACTTATTTTTATGGATATGTCTCGAAGAGACGAATCTAACGGTACATTTTATGAACCAATCTGATTTATAGATTTCAAGCTATGGCGACTTTAAATATTAAAATTTGTAACTTTGACCCATAAATTAAACTCAATTCAAAAGAGATTTCATAAGATTAGAAATCTTAATCTTTGACACTTGACAATACCATATTAATCATTTGGCTATAAATCATATATTTCTATCTCGTTCATATTATTAAATTTATTTATGACTGAGACAGACTCAGACATTAAGAAAAAATAAAAGTTCTCAGAAAAATATTTTGATTACGTCAAAATTCTAGTTTTGACAGTCTCATTCCAAAAACACAATCCGTTTTCAATTCGGAAGAGTTTGGGCGAAAAAGCGCGTACCGTTTGGAGTAAACTATTCAGTTTGGACAAAAGTCCAAAACTAATATTCTAAAATCCCTCCCCAATCACTTAAGTCACTCCACTAGCCACCCCATTTATTCTCCACTACTTAATAATACATTAAATCTACATAATACTCCAAATCTCAACCCTTTCCTACACAATTCCACCATCATTATCATCTCATCTCTCCCCTCTCCATTCTCTCTCTGTCGGCCAAACAACAAGGAAAAGAAAAGAAAACTTCAACTCCATAGTTGGTTCAAGGAAGAAGAAGAAGAAGCAAGAAACCATCCAAAATTTCCAAATCTTGCACTCAAAAACGCAGCAGCAACTTCTAGGTAAAATCTGAAATTTTCCATCCATTATCTCGAAATACTTTCTGAACCAAAGTTGTAGCCCCGAACGATACGAGTCCAGCCCAACAAACGGCTCGCGATTTAGTTAAGTAACGAAGAAAATATGGGGCCAAAATACCGGGATTGCGCCAGTGGTGGCGAGCTCCTCGGGTTGGCTATGTTTCTTCACCATATCCATGTTGTTTCATTCCAAACACTCACCATAAACTCTCTAACAATTATTAGGAACATCCGGAAGGTATCGTAGAGAAGGTTCGGTGTTGGAATAGTGAAGTTAATAAGTTAATCGTCGGAATCGTGGTTCATCGACATATCCGAAATCCTGGACAGCAACTATACTTTGACTTCAGGTCCGATTTACGTTATCTTACATCTGTTAACTCGAAATACTTTCTATACGAAAGTTATAGCCTTACATCTTAGGAATCCACAGAATCAAACGGTTTGCAATTTCGTGAAGAAACGATGGAGATATGCCCAAAATACGGCAGGCTGTCCAATTGTGACGAGAATGACAAAGTTGGTGAATTTCGATGTTGTTTCCTCTCCCGCTCATCCGTAAGGTTTCGGACGATAATTTCCAGGTCTGTACCCTTCCGTTAGACTTGTCGAATCATTCATCACGTATGTACATGAACATATATATTAATCCATATGTTGAAATCATCCCAAAATATATATGTGATACATATATAAGTCATTTATATGTTGAGATCAAAATACACCAAATCCATAAAGTTAATATACACATAAGTAAATATAAACATTGGAATTCAACCCAACAACATGCATATGTTAATAAAAGGTGTTTAAAAGACTTAAAGAAGTATTTTAGACACCCAAAAACATCAAGCATAAGATTCGCAGACCCGAATGGTCGACGCAAACCGTCGCGTTAAACATCGAAACGGACCCTGACCCTCAGCCAAACAGTCGACCGCCGCATGTCCAGCCGAGGGCCACCGTTCCAGTAAGTCAACAACGGTCGACCGCCGGTCAACCAGGGTCGACCGTCACGGTGTTCTGCCAATCCGAGGAAATGAAGATCGAGGTCGACCGCCGTGCCAAACGGTCGACCGTTCCGAGCCCAGTAGCTTGATTAAATGATATTTTAATTATGTTTCAACCAAATAAACTTATGCATGATTATATATTCATATTGTTTGCAAATTGTTCACATCATATCATTCATTTCATTATTCCTATTGAAGCATATCACATCATATGCATGCGTAAGAGATCATGCCTCGTGCGTCTCTTATAGCGTGATTGTGCGGGACTTAGCAGTCTGACACCACTGACCGGGCTTAGTGTACGTACATGGTATTCAGGCTTTCGAGTACCACCCCTATTTTTCTAGTCTCACCTCATTCGTGAGACTAAGGTGGCGTGAGTTCGTTGTACCAAATGGGCAAATCTCATAGGGCAAGGTCGTTCCTTGCGGGTTTTAGATTCATGCATCATGTTATCATCATCAAGTACATTGATTACATAGGTGTCATGTAATCATCATCAAGAACAATCAAATTGATTAAATGTGAAATCATGTTATTGATAAGTCCGTTTTGTACGCACTTATCTTCTCTATATTTAATGTGTTGTTGTCTAATTTTGGATCAAACAAATCAATTTCTCAATAGTTTTTATAAGTTTTTATTTATAATTGAAAAAGTGTACAAAAATTATGTCTTGTTTTAAATAGAATAAAAATTGAGTCAAAATTGCTACAAAAAGTGTAAAAGATTGTGCAAATGGAATGCAACAGAGCAAAGAGGCAAAAGATGGTGAAAATCCTTGAGTGAAAGTGTATATTCATATGTGGCGATGTACCCCGTCAAAAGATTTGAGGTCAAACAGATTTAAAAAGTGCCAAAAAGAAATTGTTTGAAATGAAAAAAAAGTAAAAAAAAAGTTGTTTTGATTCAAAATCAATTTGTTTGATTCAAATTGGTTCAGAATTTGAAGTCGGTATAGAAGAAAAACTTGTTGAGAATAAAATTTTGAGCAACATGACATTTTCAAAAATAAATTTCAAAGTCGTTCAAATTTTGACAACAAAGAGGCGACACGTGGCAAAACTTGATTTGTTGACCAAGATTACATTTGTAATCAATCCTTTTGTGAATAATGTGGTCCGCATATCCATTGTATCAATCAAAGGAATGAAAAAAAACAAGAAAGAAGAAGAAAAAATGGCGTAAAGGCAGCATCCATTTGATTCGCACATCAGCCGCCATGTACACTTCAATCCAGGTGTGCGCCTGGACTTTGTCCACGCCTCTCAGAGGCCTGGACCAAAATTTTCTACTATAAAAGGAGGATTTCGCCCCTTCATTTACATCAAGCCTTCCTCCGGGTCTTTAAGGCCCGGACCTCCTCTCTAACTCCTGTTTTCAGTTATATTTTTATATTTTAGTTTAGTTTTGTTCCGACTGTCGCAAAGTGGCTCCAACTCTGCTCTCTGTTGTAAGTTTTAATACTTACAATTTTAATTAAATGTTTTCTTTAGTATAGGTTAGGACCCGAATTAGGGTCCTGGTTAAACTTGGGCATATACTCTGTATGTTTATTAAGGCCTCACCGTACACTTCCTTTTCTTCACCACAAATCCCTCAACTTCTTCAAACATCTCTATCTCTCTTGGCCTATTTATTTGAGTGGTCTGGCAGAGGTGAATTATAAGAAGATATCACTCCAAACCTTCTGCAAATTCTCTAAAAAAATCTCTGCAAATTCTTCTTTCCTTTGTTGAGCAAAATCTGTGCAGTTCCTTCCGGCTTCTGTGGGTGCGCACAAAGGCCGGCTTCCGTGTTATCCTTGGGGGACGACGCCTTTGATCAACCGCACCGGTGAAGGCGAAATCGTTTCTAAGGCAGTGGTATTAATCCACGGAACGGCGCTTCACTCTCTTTGTTTTTGTTTAAATTTCAGGCGCAAGAAGAAATCCTTAGCAGAAGCACAAGAGGAGACCGGCAGTACCGAACCAACAATTTAGAAACGAATCCTTTGGTGCTGCGAAAATGACTTTTGCTCTCAACAAACTTCTTCCAGACCTCTCCAAACTCGAGCCGCTCGACGGAAAGAACTACCGCCGGTGGTCGCAGAAGATGCTAATATTCTTCGAACAACTTGAGGTAGACTACGTCTTGTTCGAAGACGCCCCAACTGATTTTGTTGAAGATGTCAACACCACCGACGACTCCACCGCTGCAACTGCCGATGCCGCCGCTACCAAAGCCGTTGCCGCTCCAGAGATGTCCAAACGCTCTGCTTCCAAAGACAAGGCTAAGGGAGATGACCAAGCCAAAAGAAAGTACGAGAAGGACAACAAAACAGTTCGTGGTCATCTCCTTAGTCACATGACAAATCCATTGTTTGATTTGTTCATTCCGAACAAGTCCGCAAAGTCAATTTGGGAGACATTGCTGAAGAAGTACGGGGCGGATGATGCTGGAAAGAGCAAGTATGTCACCGGAGAATGGCTGCGTTTTCAAGTGGTGGATGACAAATCAATCATGGACCAAGTCCATGAATGCGAGAATCTGGTTTCTGATGTCCTGGCCGAAGGGATGATGATGTGCGAAATTTTGCAAGCAAATGTTCTCATTGAGAAGCTGCCACAATCATGGGCAGAATACTGCAAAAAATTAAGGCATAAGAAACGAGACATGCCACTGGACGAATTAGTCTACCACATCAAAATTGAAGAGGCAAATCGCCTCAAGGATAAGTCACTGTCCTCTTCTGTTTTACCTCCTGTTAAAGCTAACCTCGTTGAATCTTCAAATGGCAATAATCACAGGTCTAAAGGGAATTCCTCCGGCTCTTTCAAATCGAATAAGAAGTCCTTCAAGAAACCTGGAAATAAACACTTCAAGAACCATGGTGGACAGATTCAAAAGAAAAATAATGGTGCTTGTTTTGTGTGTGGTAAAACAGGTCATAAGGCTAATTGCTGCTTTAAGAGATTTGACAATAACAAGGATGGAAATGTTCACCACAATCCTCAAGCTAATGTTGTCGAGCATGATGACATCATTACTGCCGTAGTTTCTGAAGTGAACATGGTTGAGAACCATGTTGAGTGGATAGTGGACACCGGGGCCTCTCGCCATTTCTGTGCTAATAAAGAGCTGTTTGTTGAGTTTGATGAGTCTGCCGAAATTGAGAAGGTGTTCATGGGAAATTCAAATAGCGCAGATGTGCTTGGCAAAGAAAAGGTTCTTCTTAAATTAACTTCTGGAAAATCTTTATCGTTGTCAAATGTTTTTTATGTACCCTCCCTTCGTAGGAACTTGATTTCAGGAGCCTTACTTAATAAGGCTGGTATTAAGTTGGTCTTTGAGGCTGACAAGCTTGTTCTGACCCGTAATGGGGAGTATGTGGGGAAAGGGTATCTCTCTGGTGGATTATTTGTTTTGGATGTTTCTGTTAACAACATGAATAAAGCTTCTACTTCTGCTTATATTGCTGAGTCTATTGATTTGTAGCATGGTAGACTAGGACACGTAAATGTTCATTCTCTGAAACGCCTTAAATCTTTAAATTTAATTCCAAACATGATTGAAAGTGGTTTCTCCAAATGTGAAATTTGTGTTGAATCAAAGCATGCTAAGAAGCCCTTTCAATGTGTGAGAGAAAGAAAATCTGAATTGTTAGAATTAATTCATACGGATTTAGCTGATTTCAAAAATACTCAAAGTAGAGGTGGTAAATTTTATTATATTTCATTTGTGGATGATTGTTCTAGATTTACCAAACTTTACCTTCCGAGAACTAAAGATGAAGCTGAGAATATATTTTTAATATATAAAGCAGAAGTTGAAAATCAGCTAGACAGGAAAATTAAGAGACTTAGATCCAATAGAGGTGGAGAATATAGCACAAATTTTTTAAAGGATGTTTGTGAGAAAAATGGCATAATCCATGAATATACTGCTTCTTACACTCCACAACAAAATGGAATAGTAGAAAGGAAAAATAGAGCTCTTAAAGAAATGATGAATACTATGCTTTTGAGTTCTGGTTTACCTGATGAAATGTGGGGGGAAGCGGTACTTTCTGCAAATCATATTCTTAATCGTGTTCCACATAAAAAGCTAGACAAGGCCCCTTATGAAATTTGGAAGGGTTATGCTCCTAATCTCAAATATTTTAAAGTGTGGGGGTGTCTTGCAAAAGTAGGTTTGCCGGCTTTTAAACGTCCTAATATTGGGTCTAAGACTTTTGATGCTGCTTTTATTGGCTATGCTTATAATAGTGCTGCTTACAGATTTATGTGCCTCAATGATCGTTCTATATTTGAATCTAGGGATGCTGAATTTTTTGAACATATTTTTCCACTAAAGAAGGACATTGTACGTCCTATTTTATCAGCTCCTAATTTTGCATCTGCTTCTGTTCCATCTAAAAATAATGAGGTAACTGAAATCAGGAAAAGCAAAAGGCGTAGGATTGAAACAAATTTTGGTCCTGATTTTTTAACAACATTTTTGGCTGAGATTGATAATTATGATTATATTGATGAGTCTTTGGTTCAAACCTTTTTGATCGAAGAAGATCCTAAGACTTATGAGGAAGCCATGAGGTCGATTGATGCTAACTTTTGGAAAGATGCTATAAATAGCGAGCTAGAATCTATTATGTTCAATAACACTTGGGAACTTGTGGATTTGCCTAAGGGCTTTGAGCCCATTAAGAGCAAATGGGTTTTTAGAAAGAAAATTCGACCCGATGGGTCAATTGAACGGTTTAAGGCACGCCTTGTAGTTAAAGGCTTTACACAAAAGTTTGGGGTTGATTTCTTCTACACTTATTCACCTGTGGCTAAAATTGCTACTATTCGTGCTTTATTTGCATTAGCTTCAATGCATAATTTATTGGTACATCAAATGGATGTTAAAACTGCATTTTTGAATGGTGAACTTGAAGAAGAAATTTATATGGAGCACCCTTCGGGGTTCGTTGTTCCAGGCCAGGAGAACAAGGTATGCAGACTTAAGAAATCCTTGTATGGTTTAAAGCAAGCCCCAAAACAATGGTTTGAAAAATTCAATAACACAATTCTCAGTTTTGGATTTATTTCTAATGGATCAGATACCTGTTTTATCAAAAAATGTTTGGCAATGATTGTGTGATTATTTGCTTATATGTTGATGATATGTTAATTCTTGGTTCATGTATGAATGTCATAAATGAAACCAAACAATTTTTATCCTCTCATTTTGAAATGAAAGATTTAAGTGAAGTTGATGTTATCTTGGGCATTAAAGCCAATAAAATTGATAAAGGCTTCACTTTATCTCAATCACATTATATTGAAAAAATTTTGAGGAAATTTAATTGTTTTGATGAAGTGCCGGTAAGAACACCTTATGATGCTAGTGTACCTTTGAAGAAACATAAAGGAATTAGTGTTTCTCAAAGTGAGTATGCTAAAATAATTGGTAGTTTAATGTTCTTGATGAATTGTANGTTAGTAGACTCAGTCGCTACACTCATAACCCAAGTAGCGAGCATTGGCATGCTCTTAAAAGGCTTCTTAAATATCTCAAAGGTACTATGAATTTGGGTTCACATTTTGTTGGTTATCCTGCAGTTTTAGAAGGTTATTGTGATGCAAATTGGGTAACTGATAATGATGAAGTGAGCTCTACTAGTGGTTATGTTTTTACTCTAGGTGGCGGTGCAATTTCATGGAAGTCTGCAAAACATACTTGTATTGCTCGTTCCACTATGGAGTCAGAATTTATTGCACTTGACTTAGCAGGGCAAGAGGCTGAATGGTTGAGAAACCTACTTGCAGATATTCCTCTTTGGGGCAAGCCTGCTCCATCCGTCTCTATGTTATGCGATTCACAAGCAGCTATAAGCGTTGCCAAGAATAAGGTGTATAATGGTAAGAAAAGGCATATACGGGTAAGACATACTACTGTGAGAAAGCTGATTGAGAATGGAGTACTCTCTCTGGAGTACGTTAAATCAGAGAGGAATCTCGCTGATCCATTGACTAAAGGACTTAATAGAAAGTTAGTCCTTGAAACATCGAGGGGAATGGGTCTTAAGCCCATTGGTTGAGGAATTCATAGTTGACACCATTAGTATTTTTCTTAGAAAATTTAATGGTCAAACGAAGCTATGGAAAGACTCATCTTTCTTATTTTGTTTTCCATTCCTATGGTGTGTTGTGTTGAGGTTTAATACTCTATGTAATCCATAGCCTTGTTTGGGTGGTCCGTTGGACTTGATGGATATACAAATTGATTTATGAGGGTGAGTATTTTTATATACTCTTAATGTTTTCATAGCCAGTTTGGTGGTCTACGCTGAGGTAGACTTGATGAAATCACCTACGTAAGTGTGAAGGTGTGGCGACCTTCTATGAAAAACTATGGGCTGTTTTTCTAGAGCACTTATGAGCATCCCGAGGTTTGTTGCCAATCTTGAGTGTCGTTTATCGCGGAACTCGTACATGAAGAAAGGTGAGATATGTGTATTCGGGTTATCTCTTGACATCAAGAGAGTTCAAGAAATTTATTTTTCTCTCTAGATTATGGAGTGACCTCATTTCACTATGTGTTGGTTCAAATATAACATATACTAACACTTAAGTATCAAACCTTATTTTGCTCAGCATTGAAAGTTTTTTTTAAAAAAAAAATTTGTCATCCTTGCATTAGTGGGGGATTGTTGTATAATGCAAGGTACAGGAGGTTTCTTTTGTTTGACTATTTCTTTTCCCAATTTAATCTTAATTGTTTATTTTTACTTAGTCAGAGAAGTGTTTATCCTTTTAATTTTCAAATTGGTGGAGTGAGTGGATCAATTCTAATTGACTCCTACTTTTAAGGCCTCACCGTACACTTCCTTTTCTTCACCACAAATCCCTCAACTTCTTCAAACATCTCTATCTCTCTTGGCCTATTTATTTGAGTGGTCTGGCAGAGGTGAATTATAAGAAGATATCACTCCAAACCTTCTGCAAATTCTCTAAAAAATCTCTGCAAATTCTTCTTTCCTTTGTTGAGCAAAATCTGTGCAGTTCCTTCCGGCTTCTGTGGGTGCGCACAAAGGCCGGCTTCCGTGTTATCCTTGGGGGACGACGCCTTTGATCAACCGCACCGGTGAAGGCGAAATCGTTTCTAAGGCAGTGGTATTAATCCACGGCACGGCGCTTCACTCTCTTTGTTTTTGTTTAAATTCCAGGCGCAAGAAGAAATCCTTAGCAGAAGCACAAGAGGAGACCGGCAGTACCGAACCAACAATTACCATGTCTTTTCATTATTCCACTTCTAAAACATACTGTGGTTGGTTCTGTAATTGGTTTTGGTGGAATATTTTTGAAGCATTTCTTTAGTGTGTCCATGGTTTGCTATTTCAAGAGGGGTCTGGATATTGTTGTTTGATGTGCAATCATCTTGACCCCATAGTTTAGGTTGTCATTTGAACTTGCTGACAGAATTCCAGTAGGGAGTAAAAAACCCATTGGGTTATCATTTTGCACCAAATTCTTTAAACTAAAGAGAGTAAATGTTTGTTTTGGTATAAAATTCGCACAAGAAACCAGAATTTTCGGAGGTAGTATTGAATCTTGTTGTTTAAAATTGAATCTGTCTATGGGTTTAAACATTTACTTCAAGTTTAATACTCTTAAAATAATTCAAGCTTTTGCTACTTTTAAATTATTTCAAAGGTGTTTGAGAACTATTTTCCAAAAGATTTTACTTAAGTTGGGTCAAATTAGGATCGCGACCTAATCCAATTGAAATTGATATTCTTTTAAAGTCTAAAGTGCTTTAAATAGCCGAACTTTTCTAGAAACCAAGTGTCACTTGATTAGTACTAGATTGCCTCGTTAAGTCATTTTTGCTAATAAAGGTTCTCAAACTGATTTTGTTAAATAACCTTCATGTTACTGCAAAATTGTTACGGTGATGTTTTCCACAAATCTTAATGCACTATTCTTAGTAGTAATCTAAGGGTTGGTTTTTGGGTTTCTAAGGATAGTAAGGTTTAGAGTTAGGGTTGGTCCTAACATGAGCTTTTATGAATGGGAAAATAGGGAAGAGCCGTTGGTGGATCTCTTCTTCAGCCTAACCCTCGTTTTAATTTAAAGTTGGTTGATGATTATGCTAGTTTTTATCAATGTTTTGATCCTGGATATTTATTTTCTATATTATAAAACACTTTGTTGGTTTTCTAAAATTGTTTAAGTCTCTAAATTATTGTGTTATGTGTGCTTGTCTTCTTTGTTTGGGCTTCTAGGTGGAGTTATGTTCTGTTTTTATCCTTGGTTTGTTCTGAGATTTGTTCTGGTGTGGTGTGTCACTTTAGTTAGTTTTTTTTACTTTATTTAGAAAACATTTTTTTCAAACCCCCCTATTTTTTAATTTAGTTAATAGATTTTAGATAGTTGTTTTTATCCAATAAAAAGTGACAAAGTAAACTGACTTTCATAGCCTAAAAAAATATCTTTCCTCGTGGGATCGACCCTTACTTATCATATCTATGGATTTAATAAATATTATTTTTACAAGAAGGAATTGAGTAAAGGAAAATAATTAATTAATTTTTTTGGTGCTACGACACGCCTAACAATGTATGACAATTGGGTTGGGTAATAAGACACTTGGGTTGAACCACATTAAAAGATTGTGGTCCGTTGCTAATTCCGTCGCAGATCAGCGGCGGTTCTTTACTTCCATCGTAGATTGCGCTTGATAAAAATGGAAAATCCCGTTGCAGGTCCGTCGCAGATCTGCCACGGAATTTCAATTCTGTCGCTGATTTTAAATCTGCCACAACTTTTCTGCGACAGAAAAATTTCGTTGCAGATCCGTTCTAGAATGGAAATCTGCCACGGAATTTCAAATTCTGCCACGAAATTTGTTTGTTGCAGATCGACAGTTTTCTTGTAGTGGCCTCCTATTGGTTACTCGGTTGTAGAAATGTTGTTTTCAAGAGACTCTTGGCTATTTAGTTTGATTCTTCTCTAATTCTTTCAGTTGGGACTTATATATGCTCCCAACAATTAGGTTTATACTTTATATGATACTCCCTCCGTCCCAAATTATAATGCCTGTTTACTGTTCACAGGGTCAAATTTCATTCACTTTCTTTCTCTATTTTCGTTAGTAATTTGATAAAATAAAATATTCTTGTCACTACTAGTTTTGTAGATCTTTTGATGTAGTTTTTTAATATGTAATTTTTATTTTTTTAATTCTATACCATTTGTCATATAAAATGGTTTGAAAATAATTTCAGTTAAACATCGTAAACCGAAACAGGCGATATAAAATGGGACGGAGGTAGTACATAAATGTTAATAATCAATGTTTTGTTACTATTGTATTCCCTACCTCTCAATTTAAATGACTGATGGCTATAAACCACCGAATATATTAGATTATATGAATTTTAGAGAGAGAGAATGCAAAGTAGGAGTATATTCACTTGGAATTCGGATCCATTACATTGAGGGGTCTCAACCCTTTTATAGGGATACAATACACTTAGTCAAAGCCCTCTCATCGAGGTTCGTCGCCTAGCGGACGTCACCTGTCCCTTAATCTTGTCCCTTTCATCCTATCACTTTCATGAAGTCCCTTTCGCAGGTCGCTATCTTTACGTCGTTGTCATGAGGTTCGGGCTGGGTCTGGTAGGTCGAGCTGAGCTGGGAGGGCCGAGCGGAGCTCGTGAGCCAAGCCGGGCGGGCCGAGCAGAGCTCAGGTTCCGAGCGGAGATAACCAAACCTAATGCATCCCTTCGGCGAAGTACATGCTGCCGTCAACTCTATGCTGACGTGGGGTTATTCCCCATGAGAAGCTCCCCACTCTCCGGGTTCCGTGGCAACTAGCAGCGGAGCACGCGAGAGTAGAAACACTGTGGATGGTCTGCTCGTGAGCCCACGCATCAGTTGGCAGACAAGTGGTGACGTTTGGGTTCCCCGATAGGCGGTTGTGACGCTTCGTTTTCCCAAATGACAGCCCATCATGACACCTGTTCGGACCATCATTACTTGGGCCCAATATTAGTATAAATAGCCCCCAAGGCTTCTTTCATTCTCACACATTCTAGAGAGAGAAATTAGTGTTCGCCGTTCCACCGTCGCTCCCTACCGTCGTTCGCTGCGTTCCTATCATCTTTCCGGCGACGTTCTCCGAGGTCAGTCCCTCCTCCTCTTCTCTGTCTATGTCTCTAGAGTCTTCTTCACTCCACCAGTCTGAAGCCAAGCACGGGCTCGGACTCGGGAGTAAGGGTTCCATCCCCCAAACCGATCAAGGGGAGCAGTCGAGTTCCCCATCCGTCGAGGAGATCGTGGCTGTTGAGGTCCCCAGGGACCCCGAGCCCTGCTTCTAGAAGCGTACCGCGCTTGAGGACTCAGTCATCCGCGAGTGCAAGTGCGACTTGTCGGGTGACGAGTATCTCAAGGCAGTGCGCTACGCCGGCCCCGGTGTTACTGTACGTCGCCCCACCCCAGAAGAGCCAGTCTTCGACGCTCAACCGGGCTTCTTCGCCATCCATCTCAAGTCTCTTGAGTACGGGTTCCGATTCCCCCTCAAACCCCTGGTCGTCGATTTCTTCAAGCACTTCAACTTCCTCCCGTGCCAATTGGTGTCGAACTCGCACCGCTACCTGGCAGGGTTCCTTATCCGTTGCCGTCACACGGGCGTGCGGGCTGACCTCTAGCGCCTCCACACTTTGTTCCGGGTGGCAAAGTCCTCCAGGTCGGATGGGGATTCTTACGCTGCCCTCTGCCAATAGCAAGAGAAGCTCTTCAAGACCAAGAAGGACTCCAATCAGGCTTGGAAGTCCATGTTCATTTTGTCTCCATGGGATCTGCTTCCCCCTTCCGAGACACTTCTCTCAGTTCCTTCCGTCGGCAATCCAATCCCTTCGCCTCGCCCAAGGTTATCGCCGACGCGGAGAAGCTGTGTGCGGGAGGCCTTTACGAGCCCAGGTCCTTAGTGAATAACGTGGCGCTTGCTGAGCTCGGGTTCATCTTCTCGGAACAAGACGAGCCCAAGCGCCGAGTCGTCCAACAGCACCTCGGGGAGGGCCCCTCAGGTTCCATTCGTTCATTTTTTTTGGTGGACTTAGGCGCTGCTCCCATTTGTTTTGGGGATTTGGACTTATCTTTTATTTTCCTTGCAGGCGAAATCATGATTTCCACGGCCGATCGGAAGAAGCTCTTCAAGACCAAGCCAAGCAAGGGATCCACCCAGGCTCGGCCTCCGACGCTGATTGCTGCTCCATCCGCTGAGTGTGTTCCGCTCACCAAGAAGCGCAAGGGCGCGAGTTCTTCGAGGGACGCTGCCTCGGCGAGTGCGACGAAGTCCCAATCTCCGCACCTGGCAGACTTCGAGAATCCGGCATTTGTTAACGTGGCGTTTCCCCCCAATCCTTTGTTCTTGCATGGGGACTACGAACCTTGCCAGTTCTTGCAGGGCTTCGTCCCTCATCCCGACCGAAAAGAGATCAGGGCAACTGGCTCGGTTGACCTAACGTCTGCTCTCCTGCGGGAGCTAGGCTCGGTAAGTGTTCTAAGTTCTGCTCCTGAGTTATTTCCCGCCTGGTACTTAGACAAATTTTGCTGTTGTTACAGGCGGCCATGCACGTCCCGGAACTTGCGGACCGCTTGGGTTGGTATGAGGCCGACGGGATCAAGGGTGAAGAAGAGACCTTAAGGCTGCAGAGGCGCGTGGCCAAACTCGAGGGGGAGGCTCGGGCGTCGGAGCATGCTCACATCACCGCCGAGGCGAAGGCGCGCCGCCTCGAGGAGGAAAGCGAGCATGTGATCCAGGCTTTCCAGGCCTCCCCTGCCTTTGAGGAGGCGGCTTTCTCCCGGATGGATGATCTCTTGAAGTCTTGGGCTCAAACCCCCGCCGGCAAGCAGCTTCTGCTCGAAGAGGGGAAGGCCAACTACGCTCTAGGTCTGTTCCGGGCTCAAGAGGTCTCGCTGGAGCGATTCATAGAGGGCAAGGATCTCCCTGAGCCGTGCGAAGACCCTGAGGCGTTCGATTCCTCCTTATTTTACTCCGACATTGAGGATGCCGCTGAAGACTGAGCGTGTCTGCGCCCCTTACCGACCATGTTTCCTTCTCCTTTTTTCAATGTAACGTTTTCGCATTGAACGATGTATTGTACTATGCAACTATTAATTTGACTTCTCATGGTTTGCAATGCCTTTGTCATTTTTCTTTGATTCTTGATTGCTTATTCTCGAGCGTACCTTGATGATCAAACGGCCCACTTCGTTGGAATGCCAGGGCTCGCCTCGGCGACCCTGTGCTCGGGCTCATCTTGGCAATGCTACGCTCGGTATGGCCACGTTGTGGCATGTGCCTTTTACCCACCGGCCCAATCAGCGCCACCTCGGGACTTGGTGCCTTTTGCTTACTCCTGCGCTTCCCTTGACCGGCCCATTAACCGAGGTGAACTTGGGACTTGGTGCCTTTCACTGACCATCGTACTTAGCCACTCTTGCCTCGCCACGTGTCCCTCTCCCCCTTCCCGTATGGCTTATGTAAGGGGGAATGGTTCACAATGCTCTTTGCACCAAAGTACATCTCATAACTTCCCACGTCTCACTCTTCTCCAACTCCTCCCAACTCAAGCGAGATGCGGGGGGAAACATTCTCCCTTAGCAGCTACTCATATGGGACTCCTCCGCCATTCCGACGAAGTCCGGGCTGAGCTCGACTCCTCCGCCCACTAAGTGGGACTCGTGGGATTCTGATTCCGAGTCTGAGTCAGTGCACCCTGACCCCTTTGCGAAAATTCTGGGGTTCATCTACTATTCGTTCGAGAAGGATGTACAGACTCCTCCTTGGCCTACTCGACGCGAGGAGGCCGATGTTCCCCCGGCCGCTCCCAATCGCAGGGACCGAAGGCGCCATCCTCATACTCCTCCAGTCGAGGGGCCGAGCGAGAGTTCCGTGGCGTCCCACCATCCAAGCCGTTACTCTCTTGATGACCCGGGCTCGCCCAGCTTTGGTGAGTCGACCAGCCACATTTTCGTCGGCAGAGCTCCTTCACCACTTTCCTACGCCCCTCCGTTCCCATGCAAGCGAGGGTGGAACTGTGGCATGCATTGAAGCTTATTGCGTAGCTTGATTGCTGTAAGGCGTTTGCGCCGTGTACTTGCCCCTGTTATAAGGAAGGATAAAAGTCGAATTTGGTTTTAAGTTCTGTTCTCGTGTTTAGTCATTACATTCGAATGTCTGACCTTCACCTGGGAAAGACATCCGGGTATGGTCTGCGCTCGACCTCTCCTGTGGAGGAAGGCCGAGCGCGAGCGTTTGACCTTCGCCCGGGAGAAACAACCGGGCATGGTCTGCGCTCAGCCTTCCTCTTGTGGAGGAGCACCGAGCGCAAGAGTTTGACCTTCGTCCGGGAAAAACATCACGGTGGGTCTGCGCTCGACCTCCCTCCTGTGGAGGAGCACCGAGCGCAAGTGTTTGACCCTCGTCTGGGAAAAACATTCCGGTATGGTCTGCGCTCGACCTTCCTCTTGTGGAGGAGCGCCGAGCGTGAGTGTTTGACCTTCATCCGGGGAAAACATCTGGGCATGGTCTGCGCTCGACCTTCCTCCTGTGGAGGAGCGTCGAGCGCGAGTGTTTGACCTTCATCCGGGGAAAACATCCGGGAATGGTCTGCGCTTGCCCTTCCTCCTGTGGAGGAGCGCCGAGCGCGAGTGTTTGACCTTCATCCGGGGAAAACATCCGGGTATGGTCTGTGCTCGACCTTCCTCCTGTGGAGGAGCACCGAGTGCGAGTGTTTGACCTTCATCCATGGAAAACATTCGGGTATGGTCTGCGCTCGACCTTCCTCCTGTGGAGGAGCGTCGAGCGCGAGTGTTTGACCTCCATCCAAGGAAAACATCCGAGTATGGTCTGCGCTCGCCCTTCCTCCTGTGGAGGAGCACCGAGCGCGAGTGTTTGACCTTCATCCGGGGAAAACATCCGGGTATGGTCAAAGCAGACTTTGTTCGCAAAAACTTCATTTTATTGAGTTCAATCAAAGGATTTACGGGTTCCCTCTTGGGGTTTGGGTACAATAGAGCTCTACTGATAAAACTTGACCAGATTCTCATCATTCCATGTCCTGGGCACGTCCCCTCCGCTCGGTGTCTGCAGTCAGAATGTCGAAGGGCCCACTGCCTCTTTGATCATGTAAGGGCCTTCATAGTTTTTGGCAAACTTTCCCCCCTCCAGGAGGCGGCTCACCGTCCTCTTGCGCAACACCCAGTCTCTTTGAAGAATCCTCGCGCGCGCACGCGCCAGTCGTGGTAGCTCTTCACTTTCCTCTGATAATTCTCTGCCCGTATGAAAGCCGCTTCCCGCCTTTTGTGCACGAGGTGGAGCTCGGCTGCCAAGGCTTCTTCATTGCGCTCGGGGTCAAAGATCTCCTCCCGGTGGGTTGCGATGGAGATTTCCGCGGGTGCCCTCGCCTCGAATCCGTAGCATAGGACGAAGGGAGTCTCCCCGGTTGCCCTCCGGGGCGTGGTTCGGTAGGTCCATGGGATATAAGGCAACTGCTCTGCCCACTCCCCTCCGCAGGCTTCGAACTTCCGCTTCAGTCCGTCGACTATCGTTCAATTGGCGTTTTTGACCTGTCCATTTGTCTATAGGTACCCGACCGACGCATAGCTGTGCTTGATCCCCCAACTTTCGAGAAAGTTGTTAAAGGTCTTGGACTCGAACTATGTTCCATTGTCTGTAATTATGTGCTCATGAACGCCGAAGCGGTAGATGACTTGCTTTGCCAAGAACTTTTGACACTGAGCTCCGGTTATACTTGCCAATGGGGCTGCCTCCACCCACTTAGTGAAATAATCGATGGCTACAATGACGTACCTCACGTTCCCGGTACCTTTGGGAAGTGCGCCTACAAGGTCCACCCCCCATCGCGCGAATGGGATAGCTGTGCTGATGGGGGTGTAGTTTGTTGAAGGCCTCCCAGGTACCTTCTGGAACTCTTGGCAAACCTTGCACCTTTTCACGAACTCCGCGCAATCCTTCATGATTGTTGTCCAAAAATATCCTTCGAGGGTTATCTATCTCGACACCGCGTATGCCCCTTGGTGGGCAGAGCAAATCCCTGCATGCACCTCCTCCATGGCCTGTTTCGCTTCGGCTGGCTGGAGGCACCTGAGCAGTGTCCCATTCTAAGCTTGCTTTTAAAGCTTTCCGCCTCCTAAAGTGTACCCCGGTGCCCTAGTTTGGACCAGCTTGGCCTTCACCGCGTCGTCCGGGAGGGCGCCGTCTTTCAAGAAGGCGACTATGTCGTCCGTCTAGTCCCTTGGCTGAGCACAGATCATCACCACGAGGAATGCATGGATGCTCGGCTCGGACAGCTCTTCCACGTTTGCCATCCGCCTGACGTGCTCGGGCGTTTCTGAGCTCAACTTAGATAAGATGTCTGCCTCGGCGTTCTCCGCCCGAAGGATCAACTCGACGCTGTACGCAGTGAAGCTCTTGAGTAATTCCAAAGCGGTAACCCTGTATTTCTTCATTCTTTCATCTTTCGCCTCGAATTCTCCAGAGACGTGGCCAACTACCAGCTTCGAATCACATTTTACCCTTAGCTTCGTCGTGTTCATCCCGGCTGCAAGACGTAGCCCGCACAGGAGCGCCTCATACTCCGCCTCATTATTTGACGCCTTGAAGCCGAATCGGATTGAGTAATATGCTCTGAAGCCTTCGGGAGCGATGACTACCACTCCACCCCCGAGTTTTTGGCGGCAGAGGAGCCGTAGGTAAAAACTATCCACCAGTCATCGGCGTCAGGCTCATCCGGGCTCGGCCCCTCCCGAGCGGTGCACTCAACCACGAAGTCGGCTATCGCTTGGCCCTTGATCGCTAGTCTCGGCTTGAACTCAATCTGGAAGGCTCCAAGAAAAACTGCCCACTTCGACATGCGAGAGGGCGCGTTCGGACTCCTGAGCAGCGCACCTATGGGCTGTTGGGAGGGCACTTGGACCGGGTGAGCTTGGAAATAGGGCGTTAGCCGCTGCACGGTTGAAACCACGACTAGAACCGTCTTCTCGGCCACTGAGTACATGAGCTCGGCACCCCTCAATGTCTTCACCGTGTAGTACACTGGGTGCTGAGCTCCGCCTTCTTCTCGGACTAGGACCGAACTCAACGCATTAAGCGACACCCCCAAATACAGATATAAGGTCTCTCTGGCTTTGGGCTTGGCGAGGACCGGAGGGGAGAGTAGATAGGACTTGAGGGATTCAAAGGATTGTTGACATTATTCCGTCCACACGAATCCTCGGGCCTTCTTCACAGTCTGGAAGAACGGAGCTGCTCGGTCTGCCACCTTGGAGAGGAAACGGCTGAGCGCCGCCAACTTCCCGGTCAAGCGCTGCATCTCCTTGACATTTCGTGGCGCTTCCATGTCAAGGATGGCGCGCACCTTCTCGGGGTTGGGCTCGATATCGCGCCGGCTCACCACGTGTCCCAAGAACATGCCGCCTTGGACGCCGAACGTACACTTCTTCGGGTTCAACCGAAGGTGGTACTTCTCTATGATCTTAAAGACTCCCTCCAAATCTTCCGCATGGGTAGTCGCCTGCTTGCTCTTCACAATCATATCGTCGACGTACGCTTCCATGCTCTTTTCGAGGACGGGCGCGAAGAGCTTGCTTACCATCCTAGCATAAGTTACCCCGGCGTTCTTAAGCCCAAAAGGCATCACCTTGTAACAATATACTCCGCCGGGGGTAGTGAAAGATGCCTTCCCTTTTTCCTCGGGGTGCATTCGAATTTGGTGGTATCCGCTGAAGGCGTCCATGAAACTCATGAGCTCGCAACCCGCCGTCTCGTCCACCAGCTAGTCGATGTTCGGGAGTGGGAATGGATCCATGGAGCACGCCTTGTTCAGGTCGGTATAATCCACGCACATCCTCCAAGTGTTTCCCTTCGGTGCCAGCACCATGTTGGCCATCCACTCCGGAGGGTAGCCACTTCTTTGGCGACAAACTCCCTCTGCTCGGACGAAAGGAACTACTTCTTCTGCTTCACCAGCCTAGACTCCGGGTTGACTACAAGTCGGTGGCATATGATCTTGGGATCCACCCCCGGCATATCCCCGGATCCCCATGCGAAGATCACGCGGTAGGCGGTGAGCACGTCCACTAAGTGCTTCCGCCGGTTCCCAGTCAAGCTCACCCCGATCTTCACCTTCCACTCGGGGGGCCCGAGGGTCAAGCGGCACATCCTCGACTTCCTTGGCGAGCTCGGCCTTCGGCCGCGCTTCCAGCTTACGCATTTCCTCCTGCGCGTTCACGACCAGCGTCTCATCCCTTGGCAACTTCTTTGTGATTCGGACGTAGCATGATCGAGCTAGCTTCTGGTCTCCCCTCGCCACCCCGATTCCTGAAGGGGTGGGGAACTTCATGCATAAGTAGTATGGGGAGATCACGTATTCCAAGTCCTCAAGGCCGGGCCATCCCAGGATCATGTTGTGCGCACAGTTGATGCTCACAACCATGAACTCCATCTTCAGCTTGGCCTTGTGCGCACCATCCCCAACTATCACGGGCACCGTGATGACTCTTTCGGCCTCGATGTAGTCTCCCGTGAACCCGGAGAGGGGAGTGCGCACGGGCCTTAGGTCCTTGCGGTTCAAGCCGAGGTTTTGGAAGGTTTTCTCGTACATTATGTTGACTGAACTTCCTGTGTCCACCAGGGTACGGTGCACTATGGCATCGTTGATCTCTATCTTCACGACCAAGGCATCCCGATGGGTACTCGGCGTGTTCAGAAGATCCTTCTCTGTGAATTGAATCTGCTCTCGTCTTCCGAGCTTGGGTGCCGGCGCCTGGTGGACTTTGGCGACGAAGGCCATGTGCTTCCACCTCTTCCTTTGAGCGACAGAGTCTCCGCCAATGTTTCCCCCGTGGATAAACCCCACAAGGTATCCTTGGGCTTCGTCCTCGTCCAGGTCATCACAATCCCGCCCGATGTGCGTCTTCTCGGGGTTCCTTGCTTGCGTGGCCACCACGACTGGCTCGGCCGGCTTCCTCCAGGTTCTCCCTTCTGGCGCCCCCCGCAACGGGGCTGCTCCATCTTCCCGCGGAGCCGGCCCTCGGGCGATCAACCGATGCATTTCCTTCTGAAGGGTGAAGCACTCCTTGGTGTTATGAGTGTTGTTGCGATGGTACTCACAGTACTTGCTCCCTCCAGATACCGCGTAGGTCTCCACGTGAGGGAGCGGGGAGAGGGCAAGCTCTCGACCCATCCCCACGGGTACCCCTACGGAGTATACTCCAGCCGAGGGCATCCTGGGACCTGCGATGTAATCCTTTTTCTTATTTCTTATCTTCGCAATTTCTCCTAAGTCCACGGGAGCTCGCTTGGCCGGCGCGGCCTCAGAGTTTGGAGCATCGTCGAACTCCTCTGAGGCTAAGAAGTTAGCGCGCGCCAAGGTTTCCTGGTACGTGGGAGGAGGATTCTTGCGGAGCTCCTTCCTCACCTCTCCGCGGGGAAGAGCTGCTTAGAACATAGCCACCAAAGCTTGGTCATCCGCCCCGTGCACGTCTCTGGCTTCCTTCTCCCACCGAACTATAAAATCTCGGACCTTTTCTCCTTTGCGGATGCAGATGTTGAGGAGGTGGGAGTATGGCAGCCTTTGCCTTCTGTTGGCCGCAAAGTGCGTCAAGAACTTCTCCGCTAGTGTATCCCAATTGTCAATGGTCCCCTTCAGAAGCCGGTTGAACCAATCGCACGCGGAGCCCTCCAGCGTCGCGAGGAAGCATCGGCACTTGACCTCGTCCGGGGCTGCCGCTGCTTCCATCGAAGCATAGAACTTTGACAAATGATCTTGAGGGTCCGTCGTCCCGCTGTAAGCCTTGATCTATCACGGCCGAAAGTTTGCCGGCAGCAGAACCGACATAACCCTGGGAGTGAACGGGGTTACTGTTCGCAAGATGAGATTGCTATAGGGGGGCCTCGTCTCCACTCGGCTCTTGAACTCGGCAATCTCGCGTGCAAGCTCAGTCACACCCCAATCGGAGACCTTTGTTTTCTTGGTTCTCGTTGGACTCTGGTGACGCTGAGTCCACTCGTCCCGTCGACCTTCTATGCGCTCGGGCCTCGCCGAGCACGCATCCGAGGTCGCTGACTCCTCAACGTGCCTCCACCTGCCCTCGGAGATTTGTCGGCGGAGGTCGCATGGGCGGCCTTCCGGTCCACGGTTGAGCCTGTCGAAAGCCGACACTCGAGTCTCCTCGCCCCCCAGGCGTTTGAAGGCCGATACTCGACACTCGCTGGACTCATCGTCCTCCCCTTCCGGGACATCCTCCACCAGCACCTCCTCGATCACCAGACCCTTGCCGGGCCTCCTCCCGCTCCTCCGGGTCTTCTTCCCCTTGTGCTCGGAAGTGGCAGCATGCTCGGTATGGGGACCGAGCAGAGCTTTGCCAGCTCTGGTGCCGGGCACGTTCCCGCCCAAGGCGGAAAGTGCCGCAACGGCTGCCTGAAGCTGCTCCGTGGTCACCCCCATACCGAACAGCGCCTGGACCGCGTCCGGGGTCGAGGTAATACCTCCTGTACCGTTGCCGCTGCCCAGCGCGTTCTCCTCGGCAATCTCGCGTGCGAGCTTAGTCACACCCCGATCGGAGACCTTTGTCTTCTCAAATCTTGCTGGACTCTGGCGACGCTGAGTCCGCTCGTCCCGTCGGCCTTCGGTGCGCTCGGGCCTCGCCGAGGTCGCAGACTCCTCAACGTGCCTCCGCCTGCCCTCGGAGATTTGTCGGCGGAGGTCACCTAGGCGGCCTTCCGGTCCGCGGTTGAGCATGTTGAAAGCCGACACTCGAGTCTCCTCGTCCCCCCAGACGTTTGAAGGCCGATACTCGACACTCGCTCGACTCATCGTCTTCCCCTTCCGGGACGTCCTCCACCAGCACCTCCTCGATCACCAGACCCTTGCCGGGCCTCCTCCTGCTCCTCCAGGTCTTCTTCCCCTTGTGCTGGGAAGTGGCAGCATGCTCGGTATGGGGACCGACGGAGCTTTGCCAACTCTGGTGCCGGGCATGTTCCCGCCCAAGGCGGAAAGTGCCGCAACGGCTACCTGGAGCTGCTCCGTGGTCACCCCCATACCGAACAGCGCCTGGACCGCGTCCGGGGTCGAGGTAATACCTCCTGTGCCGTTGCCGCTGCCCGGCGCGTTCTCCTCGCCTACGATGTGGCTGGTGGTAGGGATGTTTCTCCTTGTTTGCACCATTCTCGCTTCCGGGAGTTAACCTACGAGTATGTTCCTCTGCTCTCAATGAAAGCACCAATTTGATGGCTATAAACCACCGAATATATTAGATTATATGAATTTTAGAGAGAGAGAATGCAAAGTAGGAGTATATTCACTTGGAATTCGGATCCATTACAATGAGGGGTCTCTACCCTTTTATAGGGATACAATACACTTAGTCAAAGCCCTCTGATCGAGGTTCGTCGCCTAGCGGACGTCACCTGTTCCTTAGTCTTGTCCCTTTCATCCTATCACTTTCATGAAGTCCTTTTGCAGGTCGCTATCTTTACGTCGTTGTCATGAGGTTCGGGCTCGGTCTGGCAGGTCGAGCCGAGCCAGGAGGCCGAGCGGAGCTCGCACGTTGAGCCGGGAGGGCCGAGCAAAGCTCAGGTGCCGAGCAGAGATATCCAAGCCCAATGCATCCCTTCGACGAAGTACATGCTGCCGTCAACTCTATGCTGACGTGGGGTTATTCCCCATCAATGACTTTCTTCAATTTACGATATTTAATTGAAATTATTTTCAATATAATTTATTTAAAAATTAGGGTAAAATTAAAAGGTAAAATTTAATATTTAAAAATTATATGAAACATGATTATTATTTTATCCAATTGGTAACAAACATAAGAAAAGAAAATCAATAATTTTTCCATGTGAATAATAACCATACAACTTAATTTAGACAGAGAAAGTATTAGAAATCTTGAAACAAACTTCTTTTGTGAGATGGATAGCAGGGGCGGATCTAAGTACAAGCTAATGTGGGCAATTGCCCCCATTGAATTTCAAAATTGTCCATAGTACCCTAATGTTTTTTAAAAAAATAGTTATGCCCCCATTGAAAAAAATAAAATGCCCGTAATAAAAATAAATTTTAAGTAGAAAATTAAATATCTACCATTAAAAATAAAATATTTAAAATTTAATTGAGTCAAAATTAAAAATTATTTGGAGCAAATAAAATTCTAGGAAATATTTTTTAGATTTTTCATTAGTTACTGAATGCGTTATTGAGTCAAAATAATGTTTTTTTATAATTTCACATTACTATTTTGAAGAAAAAACAAAAGCGCTACCCCCGAACCGTGTATTAGTCTCACCCCCAGTCCTTGTGATTCCTGGATCCGCCACTGATTGATAGTGTAAATTCAATATGTGAAAAGATGGGATGCATACAATAAACATTGGTACTCCATAAATTGTAAGAATATTGTGCATAAAGTTGTGTTTTCATGATTTTGAAGTTTACATGTGAAATGTAAACCTTTTGACATTTACAATAAACTGACAAATGTATCTTTTATTTATTACAAGTCTTAATTCTTTACTAGTCTCAATTTTTTACAAATGTATCTTTTATTTTTTTAACTAGTCTATAAAATGAAGACCCAAAGATCATAAAAACATTTGCTGCATATAAAATGGTTAAAATCTAGTTACAAACCCACAATAAATATAAACGTGTAGCATTCCTGTATTATACTCTGTATAGTGTAGCTTATATGCCAAATTTTAATTGTATACCACACGAGCAAACAACGATTCGGACTATTTTTTTATTGTACAAAATACTGATTGGTAAAAAATGAATGATAAAAAAATTATTTAAAACAAAAATTATTTTAGATCACATACTCTTCTAAAAAGAGAACGAGAAAAAGTGTAACAGTCATTTTGCACTTGGATTAATTTGATCATTGCCTTGAGCAAAGTTCCACTAAAAAAACACATGCATATATGGATTGTGTATGTCTATTTTCTCTTCTCATTTAATCTTTTCTTCAAAATGCTTGCTTATTGACCTAACTAAAGACAAAAATATATTACTCCAAAATATTGTGAAGGGAAAAAAATCATTAAAACTTGCCAAAACCCACCCACTTTTGGTTTGCTCCACATGGAAACTCTGACCCCAAAAAGTCACGAGCGAGCTTCATACACGCAAGAGAATACTCCTGGCTATGCGTAAAAACAGCGACTCCGCGCACTTGTGGGCCCCACCAGAGGGAGTTGCAATGTGCAACAAACTCAACGTCGTCTCGCTTGCAGAAAGAAAGAAAAAATCCGCTTCCGCAAATTTACACCTATGTGACAGAGAACAATGTAAATTAGATATCAGCAAAAAAATGATTCACAAAATGCGCCGATGAAATGTTTGAAGATTATTGGATTACCTCACTGTCCGCGGACACCTTGAAACAAAAGATATTTACATTAAAAGGAACCCTGCAATAAAATTTCAGTACCATAAGTATGCCACCATTGAAAACTACATGCACTTAAGAGAGGGGTGAAAAGTGAGAAGAGTTCCACACCTTTGAGTGAAAAAAAAACCAATCACCAAACGAATACTAAATAGTACAGCTAAATAATAGAGAGACCATTTTTCTCTTCTGAATGCTATCTGAACACCACACCATTTTCTTGGAGTCGTAAATTTTCAATGATAGACTGGTAGCATGATTTTAATGCCTTCATGTCATTGCCCTGGCCAATAATTTTATCATTGTTTTCAAGTAACAAAAAAAATGAAAAAAATAAATCAATAAAAAAAAAGATAATGGAAAAGGGAGAAAAAAAATACAAGGAGTACGTAGACTTACTTGCAACTTCTGACAATACTGCTGAGTCAAGTGCTGAGGGCAACGGGTACTGGAAAAACTTTTAGATACAAAATGACCGATAAAATCGTTTCCAAATTTTTCATACATGACCTTCTGAGCCAAAACAATCTCGCCAAATAAAATAAACTGCCAGGAAAAAAATGAAACAGTCATTATGCATCAAGAGAGTAAGAAGGAATATAATGTTTTGTAATGATGTTTTTATAGTAGTAGAAACATGACTCTTGATTTTTTGGAATAAGGCAACTAATAATAAAGTACTACATTGGGGCCAATAACATGAAATTTATAACTACAACTTAATTGTCTAAAACTAGATTACTATAAATTCATGTCACACGACCTTAAAAAGGAATAATGAGAAGAAATTCAAAAGGTGATGCGAGATAAGATATGGCTGTAACAAGTTGTGTTTGGCAAAAGATACCCCTATAATAACCATTTATGATATAACAAATGCAGCATGATCCCTTCGAATCATTTGGACAGTCATAGCAACTTACTGAATTTGCATCACAAAAATTGAAGGACTTGTCAAGCACACTGTGCACACAACAGTTTGTTGCAAAGGTATCGATCACAAAACTTCGGAAACCAGGTACCTGTGAAGAACATATGAAGGATTAGTAGCATGGGGGAAAAGATGGTCTCGTTGAAGCATCAAATGTGAAAGTTAACCTTCTCTTCACCATACTGGATGGTGCACCAATCTTTGATCAGTCTAATGAAGATTTGCACACATGTCTGAATGAAGGAGTTAGCAAAAATGAGAGATTCCATCAATTTAGTGACATGATAATGAAAAGCACCCAAACAGTGAAATGACTACTGAATGAATAGTGAACACCTTCCGTATAACAATGTCCTTGTGATTACAGCAACTGTGCAACAGCATCTGCATCATAGTATCCAAGTAGGCCCGACATTTGGCCGAAATAAAAACTGATGATAGATCATGAGTAACAATGACGTGGAGAAATGTGTACATCGTGCGCTGGAGCTCTTGCAACTCGCGTATTTCCTAAACCAAAGCAATCATGAGACATGCCAAATCTTGTAGAGTCCAATTTCACAATGTGCACAATAAATCAAGTGTGTTCGCTCAGCTTTTTAAAATGATCAAACAAAATTGCGTGTTTTTATACCTCAGTGTTTCCGCCAGGTCCTGCAGGAAAGTCATCTCTTGGAAGAATACGGTAAACCCTACCAGCAATAGCAGGATACACTTCCTCCAATATGTCTCCCATTGATGTACTAAATTTGCAGATGAGCTGATTAATCAGCACCAGAAAACCCACTAATTCCTTTGGCTGCCATGTTATAGAAGAAAGTTATTAATGCAAAAAAAATCTTAGCATCACCAAATTAACAGACATATATTGCATAAATACAATATCACAACTAAGTGACATGCCTCACTAGTGTTAAAAAAATGTGGTAACATTTAGACACAAGAATGTTAGATGATAACTTTTGTCATAGAACTATTGAAGTCAATTATTTGGACTTCTGTTTTTGTGACTACATGAACTCGCATTACTTGGCACTTACCTCACTTTCAACAAGCAATTGCTCCATTGCCTTTGGAAGATAAGGAAACACAGACGCTCCCAAAGTCTCAACCATTCGATGAACAAATGACGTGACCTGGATAAAAGGATCTAACATATCAGCCAAAAGGTGGAAATTAAACACGCCAAAAATATAAAGTAATACATCAAATACATACCTTACTTCGCAGTGATTCTACCTTCGGAAATACAACAAGAATTTGTAGCATGACATCCAATGTCTGAGACATTAAGGAAATTGAATTAGCACAGCCTAAAAAGGCAAACAAAAAAATTGCAAATTTATTCCAATTTAGATCAATGCAGTTAGCACTTCAACTACTTTTTTAGAAGATAAAAGTGGAGGAAAAAAAGCATCTTTTTCAAAACAATACAGGTGAGTAGCCAGTCTACTTGTTTTAATCCAGGTCATTTTTTGCATTTTACATTTTTCAAAAATAGAAGGAAAAAACTTCAAATTTAGGTTAACTTATGACATAGAAATGGCATTTATTGAACACTAAATCGTGTTAGGGCGCTATACTGAAAAGCAAGTGCACTGTCCAGAACTAAGTCCTTCAAGGTCAAGTAAGATTATGCATTTAAAATGTAAAATTGAGCTGAATGAAAGTAGGAACATGAATTCCTGGAAACTACAGTGGGCTTCGTGAATTAAGCACACACACTT